AAAAAAAAAAAAACATGTCTACGCACGGCTGATATAGAATCATTGACGACGCGGAATATTAATTTTTTAAATAAAACGTGAATTTTTTTTTTTTTTTTTTTTAAATCTCTCGAAGTCGAAGCGCGTGGTCCGTACGTTTTTAACCGTCACTAGAAACGCGCGGACGGTTCAACGGTTTCGCGTCGCCTCGTCGGACGATCGAAAATAATCATATTATAATAACAATCAGTGCGATATACTCTCGCGCGCAGTACAGTACGTTAGTCGTCGTGTTGTACTTAGGTACCCGGATACTTTGGGTGATATTATTTCACATATCCGCGTCCGAACCGCCGGCCGACGAGTGTCGGGTCTCTCGCGCGACCCCCCGGCCTTTGTCCGCGAAACCCGGTTACCGCCACCGTGACCACTGGCGCCTTTGTCGAGAGGCGTTTAATAACGCGTCGAATCGCTGTCGCCGTCGTATACCTATATATACGTTATCGGCTCGCGAAAGGCACGGAGAAGAGAGAGCGAAAGAGAGATAGACAGACAGACAGAGAGAGAGAGAGAGAGAGAGAGAGAGAGAAAGCCCGTCGTGAACCCTTTGCAACACATCATAATAATTAATGCGGCGGAAGAGGCGAGAGGAATCCCGCAGACCACTCCATCCTGCAGTCGAACAGCACTCGGATAGCCGTCGACCGGAAACCCCTTTTTACATAGGTTACCAATTAAAACGCGGTACGCGCGTTACATAGGTACCGCATTCGCGTATTATTATAGTACCTGCAGTACTTGATAATTTCTAATCCGACGAGCCCGTTCACCGTGCTGGAAAAATGATAAAAAAAAACGAAAAATAACCGCGAAGACATAATAATATAATATGACGCGCGGATGCATTTACTGAAAAATATTTGTCGAATACACAAACGACTTTTATTTTCTACCGTGGACATTTTACTCCGAATTTCAAAGGTGGCACATTTTCTTGAACTGCAGTTGATTAGTGAAATGGTAATTTTTTGATTTTCCAAGCGGTTTTCATAACAGTTATAATAACCCGGGAAACACCTAAATAAAAAATAGAAAATTCAAATTGACAGAGCGGGAAATTTAAAAAAAATAAGGTACTAATTATTTTTTATTTTTTTGAATTTATTCTTCTGCTGTTAGTTTTATTTTACAATAATTCTGTAGTTTTAAATGTAATTTATTGTCAAATTTTTTCTGAAAACAGAAATTATTGGACTGTTTTATGTCTGTTATATTTATATATAATGTATTCCCTGTCAGATTTCCTTTCAGACAAAAGTACTATCATTGTAAATCGGAGCAAAATTGCTAGGAGAAAAATTGTTCACAAGAAAACAAATATCCAAAAATTTTTCAATTCGTACCTACATTTCGTACATTTTCCCGTTTTTTCCCATTTATTGATAAAAATCCGATTATTACGAATAATTTAATCAACGAATAAAAAAAAAAAGTCTCTCACGATTTCGGATGGCACGAGTTCGAGCGACCCGGTGTTGCGCAGTACCGGTGTGGTCAGAGTGATTGGAAAGGAAAACAAATATTCTACCTAAATTCCCGTTTTCCCCGTATTTTTTTCCGGTTTGTCATATTTATTAGAAAAATTCATGGGAAAACCAAAAAATGAACTCTTTCTAAAGTACCTCTCCAGTCAGATTTACTTTAAGAAAAGGTACTGCACTATAAAATCGGAACAAGATTTCTGGTAGAAAAGTTGTCCACGGAATCTAAAATGAATCATGTTGAATGCAATTTAAATAAACGTTAATTGATAAAAATAACTAACCTAATACATTTCAAGTACCAAATAAAATTAAATAAACTATTTAAAACAAAAATTAATACTCACTTAGATTCAAGAATTGAATATTTGAAAACATTTCCCTAAAGAAAACAACAAAAAATGTTTTCTCACATACTAAGTATTTTGTGAATAAATAATTATCCTGTATGCAACAAATAAAATAAGTGCACCTATAGCAATATGTGATTTAAAAAAATTTGGATAAAGGGCCGCCAGTTTATAAGTGGGCCGGTAAAGTACGGAAAACTCGATTAGCCGAATTTGTCCAATCCGGCCCTGTAGTTGATATAATTATTTGACCAAACAGAAATGCTTAAAAATTTTACAGAAAGTTCATTATAAGTTAAACTTAGTGTTAAAACAAAGTAGTCTGCAAAGTACCTAATTTATTTTTATAATGGTTTTAAGATCAAATTTTGATGGAAATTTTAAACATTATGTAAGAGCGAACTTTGGTCAGAATCGTTTTTTGTTAGCAATAGTTTATCGTTGCTTACCAATATAAATTAAATGTAAAATCCCAACTTTTTAACTACCCATCTATAACAGTGGCACACCCATCAGCATTATCAGTTTTTCTTTTTTTACTGATAAACTAAAAAATAGCGACTTATTTGCCATCAGTTTATCATGAATGTTAAAATATATTGATAAGTAACCAATTTCTGGTAAAAGCTACTTGGAGCACAGCGAGCGTAAATATAAGGGTGCCGAAAATCTGCTGTGGGAATGGCTATTTACCGAGAAATTAAATCCTCGTCGGCTTGGGGTTTTTTTTTTTTTTTACTCTTACGGACCTTGTAAGTAACGTTTAACGGCCGTCATGTAAAAGCAAATAAATGTATCCGACGGCACGGAAAACACAATGGGACAAAACAAACAGTATTAGTGGACGATCAGAAGGATAAAATAACAAGAAATATAAAATATGATAAAACACTTTTTGATCGAAGAATAAGAAAACACCGCAGTAGCATTATTTTGTAATTGATTGTTGTTTTCATTTACTTATACAGAATTCGACGGATACGCGTGTAAAATCTCTACATTTTTAACAAGAAAAATAGATTAATATTAACAGTAGGTGTATAATAAACAGTTTTTAATAGATTCTGCAGAATCTTCGCAGAATTCTGAGATCGTACAATATTATTATCGATTTCAAATTTCACAAAGACTATAACAGAAACTAACACGGAAATATTATTTATTGTGATTATTTTCAGTGGCCTCGTAAGGATAGTTCTGCGAGTCTAAAGAATCGTGGTTTTTATTTTAAATAGGTAAGCGTGTAATAGGTGTAAGGTGAGCAGCGGGTTGGGCTTAGTAATTTTTGTAACATGCAATTTATTTTCTAATAACAGTTAATTAGTTAATATATAATTTATATAAATAAATTGTGTGTATATAAAAGGTTATGGCAGAATGAATGCCTCACACATTTTCGACATTCAATAGAATTCAATGGAATATTTAATATAAAAAAACTTTTTGAGTACTCTTCATTAATCCAATTACATTTTAATTTCGATACCCAGGTAAATGAGTGTCTATGTATTATTCCTAATGGAAGAAGGGAGAGTTATCTTAGGGTTCCCAAATGTAATTCTATAGTTTATCAAAACTATTACCAATACAAAGCTATGGCAAACTTTAATAATTTACCAAATTATATTAGGATAATAAATAATAAGATATTGTTTAAAAAAAACTATAAAAAAATATACGCTCGTGAGAGATAATAATAATATCTATAAATGATACTTTTGTTCATGTTCATTATTATTTAAATACTATCCTGTTTTTATTTAATTTTGTTTTATATTGTTGTAATCATTTTCACTATCACACATTCCATAAATTTATTAATAACTTATCACTTGTGTAATTAATATCTGATATCTCCCCCTCTCTTTATAGACCTGCTTAAATAGAGGGGTAATCAGCTCAGTTCATATTACCACTAAATTATTTTGTATTTATGTATTACCTATGTTGAGTTGAACTGAATAAATTATTATTATTATTATATAAGAAAGAGCTTGTGAGCGACAAATAATTTCACCAGATTCGCGGGATGTAAGTTCGTATCGCCATCCACTGCTATTAGTCCAGATTAAGGGGAGGGGGCAAAAGTGGGCCATGGCCTCTGGGGAGAGTACGTTTGCTATAATATATTACGGATAATAGATATACTATATGCAGTATGATGATATTTTGTATAAAAATTAACCGAACCTTTTTAAAGTAATTAATAACTATCTATACATTTTTAATAATTAATAATTATACTAATAATCTGATTTTTTGGCAATAAGTTTAAATTTCGGACGGACTCCCATTGCTACGTGCCTCTCCGGTAACAGTTTTCACCGTTTCCGTGTTTATTTGAAATATTACGTCTCAACGAGCATATAATAAGTTAAATAATAATAATAATGATATTATCGTGTACAGTTTGCGAGAGTTTACCGGATAACACTGCACTTGGCTCACCCTTACCTATAATAAATGTATACAATATACACAGCAGACCATTCGTAGGCGGTATTAGACACGGTTAACTTTGCGGGGTTTATCTTCTGGTTTATCATACATACTCCGATGCGTGCGAGCGGGCGCGTGTTTTTGTGCATGTGCGTCTAGGCCAGTGGTTTTCAACATTTTACGAACCGTGAACCCTAAATTTTATTTTTGCCATGCCGCCCCTCAGAAAATTGTTTAATAGAACTTGAATACTAGAACTAACATATTGTAGTATAGATATTTATGATTTTTGACTGTCCTCAAGGGACAAGGACTCGGGAGACCCCAAGTTGAAAACCACTGGTCTACGCAATTACGACACTCAGAACAGCAAACTGATAACAGACACTTACACGGTATAATAAGTTCAGTTTTATTGTACAATACTAAAATAATTGAGTTTGTGTATCACGCGTTAGGTTAATTATTGCGTGCAAAAATACATTAAATTCCCCTCTATGTCCTACCTTCCAAACTTCTCACCTACAATAGTAGCCCACCCATCGTGTGAAGTATGTTGTTTTTTTTTAATTCTAAGTAAGTTTTTTGATGAGTGTGAACTCAACTGAATATTTTATAATATTTAAATTTGACATCCTATAAGATGCTCGTATATGTATTTAATATTAATATGCTTTTATCGCTACATTAATCACGGGACAACCTGTTCACCCCGTCTATCCTTATTTCTCGCGATATGCTGTCGATTAAGAACATAATCGTCTCGAAGTCTCCATTCACCTTTGTTCGTTACAGTTGTTTTCAGATCTCTAGATTTTAATTCTCCATAGTCGTTTACCATCTTTCCACCACAATCTTGGTCGTCCTGGTGGAATTAGGAAAAATATAATATAGATTAAGTTCATAAAGTTTTCACGCGCACCCGAGATGATTCCATCGTCATTCACAGGTCTCTCTAAAAGAAATTCTCAAGTTCAACACTCATTTTTGTGTTTTAAAGAAGAAAATAATGTATGTACTTAATTTGTAAAATTAATAAATAATATTTACAAATGATTCTAATGATTCTATCTTTTTCTCTGCTGTAGAAATGTCTACTCTCAAGAATTTTTGCCGCCATTACTACACTTTGTCACCTATCTTGAACTGTCTCCCTCCAATTCTCAACTCTAAGGGTTTTTAGATCTTCTTCTACCACATCAAACCATCTTTTCCTAGGTCTTCCTCTAGGTGTTTTCCCTTCCGGCTTCCATACTATCTTCACAGCTTCCATGCTATTCTAACCGTTTCGTTCTCACCTCTTCTCATTATGCGCCCCAACTATTGCCGCCTTTGGCCCTTAATAAAGCTTGTTACTGGTGCTAAACCCAACATATCGTGTAGCTCCCCGTTACACCTTCTCCGCAGATTCCCCGTTGTTTCGTCGTGGTCATTTCGTGGCGACACTCGTGAGAGCGACTGTGAAAAAAAATGAAATAGTGTCGTCACAAAATTGGAACGTAAAAAAAAGTTCTGTTCTGTTTTATAAATATATATGTATATATAAGGATTGTTATGAGATATTCTTATTGAAAATTCGTATAGATTTCTCGTGTATATCGAGTGTACGCTGAGGCGTGATTAACTGCGACGGATTCGTACCGATCGGACGGAATAAATGTTAGGACGCGGGGCGTCGCGACGTCCCGGCTAGTCCCAACCAGCCTGCGCCTGTGTGTACGTACGTATATGTGCGTACACCTGCAGGTACCGTACACACACACACACACACACACACGCACACGTATATATTATAATATTTCAATTAAAGTTTCCTTTTACAAAGTTATCCGGCGACAGACGCCGCAGTATACGCGTCGTCGTCGTCGTCGTCGTGGCGGCACCGCCGTTTCCTGCGTCCCGAAGTCACTTGCGCGGCACACCCGCGGCGGATGTATTCGGTCGGACACACGCAGCAACTGCGACGGCACCGCGCTAATTCCTGTATTCGTATTAAACAGCGTTAACCCTTTCGGCGGCTCACTCCGATCGCCCGACCTCCTCCCCCCACCCATCCCCGTCCCCATCCCCCGCCACCTCCGCCTGCGATCCCGCACGCGCGCCGCGCGCAGAAACAGATAAGAACTTTGGCGACGACACAACTGTTTACCGCACAATAGAAGTGCCCCGCGATTTCTCCGCCGCGCGCACAACACTTCGCCGTACGTATTAATACGGCGTTACACACGCGTATACGCGCACCGTACACGGGCCCCCGCGCCTTTGCCCGCCCAGTCGCGTGCCCTCCCGCGGGCCGTCTGAAAAGCCGGCCCGACGACCCCTCGCCCCGTACCGCACGCAGACATATAAATAGCGCGGCGTACACGACGCGACTTTGGCTGGATCGTCGCCGCCGCCGTCGCCACCTCCGGTTTCCTGCCCGGGGTGCCCGTAACCCTTTCCGCGCGCGCCGCTCGTCCGTCCTCCCGAGGCGTCGCCATTAGCCTAATGCAGTCTATAACTGCGCGCGTCATATTATTATCATTATCATTATTATTATTATTATTATTATTACCGCGCGGAGGTGGCGAACGCGTCGCGTACACACGCGCGCGGGCTCGTGATAAATTGGCGTTTTCGTTTCGTCGGGGAAACCCCGAAAACACTGTGCGCCGGTGAAGTTTTACTGCTGCGTGATCGTGGGGGCGACGGCGACGGCGGCGGCGGCGGTAAGTCGCGTGTTTTCGCGAACCGTTTTCTCGGCCGCGTATCGCGACCGCGGCCCTCCTCACCGCTGCAGCATGCCCGCGCGCGCGTTCGCCGTGCCGCTGCAGTTACGCACATTTACCCGGTCGTCGCGCCGCCCATTCGCGCGGGTTTTTTCCCCGAAGACAAAACGAGCCTACGACCGCCGCCGCCGCCGTTTACGCGAGCAATCTAATTCGGCCGGTTTAATTGAATATATTCGTCGTAAAAAAAACTTATGACGATTATACGAGTACGTACTTTATTGCGTTGTATTTGAACAAACGTAACACCGCCGGACGTGTAAAACGGCGACCGACGCCGTGTGCATACACGCCGTATGTGAAAAAACAACATACGTAATATGCGATTATCGCGACCACGGGATTATGATCGGGTGATACGAAAACTGCACCTAACGAGTTTTTCGATGAAACGACAGTTTTTTGTTAAATACCACTATATTTTTATAATGACAAAGGGAAGTATCTATAAAGCTTCGAGTCTGATAAAAACTCGTTGAGGTTGAGTAAGTTATAGTCATAGATATTGACCAGAAATAATTACGTTCTAAACATTCAACTCGATTAATTACACCAACACCGAATTCACTTTAAGTTTCGATAATAATATTGTCTGTTTCTAATAATCTGATTCTGAGACGGAACTAGTAAAAGATTAACGGACGATTTTAAAAATTAATTTTATATGATATACATTTACGATGTAAATGAAGTACGTTTGAGAGTGGGGACTACCAATAGGAACTACCGATTGGGAAGGTCCATCGACCCCCCCCCCCTCTCCCATATAACCACTACTGGGACGACTTTCTGCCTGTTCGATACGCAAACACAATATGAACGAAACGTTCGGTGAAATAACGATTACTAATAACAATGCTCAATTCTGAACGACTACAAATGGCCGAATACAAAATCAATCGAGAACGTAAGTGATAAATATAGGTATTGAATCGTCCAAATCGCATTTCCAAGCTAGTAAATCTCTTATACATAATATGCAACACAAACAAATACAAATTAATAAAAAAAATCAAATGAACAATATTGCCATACCGCATTAGGTATTACGTCAATTTTTCGCCGACAATTATTTGGATACAATGGTTCGCGAGAAAAATATTTGAATACGACAATTCGTAAAATAATTATAACAATTTTAAGAGAATGTTTGCACGTATCCATTAACTACTCAAATACGTTCAACCAGTAGTGGGTCTTTTAATGTTTAATATGCATGTTAATTTTTATTTATCTATAAAAAAAAAAAATATGAATTCGTGTATGGTAAAAGCATATATGCATAAATAAAAAGAACATAAGCAATTTTAGACGAAAGGTTGTCATACTTAATATAAATACTGTAAATACTTAATCAAAATAAAAAAAAAATTTTTTAAACATTAACAAAGAACTATTGTCGCAGAAACTATTTTCAGCGAACAATTGACGCATATCCACCGCTTTATGTACCAAATAAAGGAAGAAAATATCTGTATCCGATTCCCTGAAAATGAATATTATTATGGCGTTTAAAATAAATGGAAGTCATTCGGGTTCAATGACCAGACCGGCGGGATAATATCTATATTGTTGATATCCCGGAGAGTCAGACTATCTCTGCAATTTGCTGTTTTATTCCAACAGTTTTTCTAAAAAAAAAAAAAAACTGACAACAAATGACGACGCGATTTTAATTATGTTACGATCAAAATATAAATTTTAAGGCCCAATGATTTTCGTTTTTTTTTTTTTTTTTTTTTGTTTATCTTTCACGGATTGCTGCGTGTTGCGGTAAATATACGCGTGTTATTTTTGCTCGAATGACGCAATCGAACTTGGTTCGGGTAATAATTGTTCCTCAATACTGTCGTCAAATTCTAAAAATCGATTATTAACGTTTAGGCATCCACTTTAATTCAAATGTAAACACTACGAATAGTTCGGAACACGTGATTGCACAAAGTCAAAACGGTTCCGTATATATATATAAGTACGTATTAATAACTTTACATCGAACGACCACTTAAAATAATATGTTAACATTTCCAAACGATTAATAATGAATTAATGTACGATCACAACGGCACAATACGAGTACTTAACCGATGATTTAACTGTCGTATTATGCATTATGTGCATTAATTGAAAACGCCGTAAATGACGGACATTATAAACATGATATTAATCCTTGTTAAAATATTAATCGAAAATCACGTTAATCAACAATACTTTAACAATACACGCAAATTGCATAAGTCGTTTGTAAGGAGAAAAATGCGTCGATAGATTAGTATTGTTTGCAAAAACATTATTAATTAAAGCTATGCTAAAATAGTAAACACGACATAAAAATATGATCTTCAATATTGTTCATAAGCTAAAAATGTAATGTTTGTTCAATATATCAGACGCAATCGAAACGTCGAATTACTACAACAAACAATATTTCACTATTTATTGTGTATAAATTAACGCACACATTGATTATACGAATTTTAAAAATTTTGTAATTCTGTGTTCAAAGGATCGCGTGTATAGGCAAACAACGCATTTTAAATTTCATATTTTGATTTTCAACACCGAATGCTATTACTTAATTTTAAACCTGGTAGCGTGATAATAAACTGTTCTTTTTTAAAATAAATAGGTTTTGATAACCACAGATCAAATCGATAATTTTGTATTAATAAATCATACAAAAATGTCAAAGTAAGCACTGTAGAGACATAATATTTTATAATGATTTTTGTATATTATTGTATCAGTTATTTTATTGTAAAACTATTAATAGAACCAGATCCATACGCCTTTGCAATATTCTTAGATGAATAGTACACGAATTGAACGTTCGAATTTGTTATGTAAATTTCCGAGTCTAAACGACAATTGTATAAAAAAGTAAAATTCGATGATAACATTATATTATTCATGAGTATCTCAACACTTGTCACCCCTTACCGAACTTCATACCGTAATGAATAAAATTTGAATACGATTTCGTTAATAATAATAATAGTTTTGAGACTTTGGTGTTATAACTTAGCTATTACTTTAGGCGTTATAAAAAACCTCCGTTGATCTGGTTTTTTCGGATTTATTTGAGTGCGCTAATCATAACAATTAGAATTGCATTGTATTCATCTGATAGTTAGGCCAAAATTTTAAAACAAGATTACTCTAATTACCATTGAAGACCATATAATATACTTAGGCACACAATATATTTATTGTATTATAGGATTCATCCGATTGTAGCGTCCAAATATATAGAATTTATTTTTAATATTATACTACCAAAAAGTATATTTTCAAAAAGAGTAAGTTTATTTGGTTGTCGCACCGAAGTTTTCGATTATTTTTATTTCATTTTAATAAACGGACGAGGCCCAATAACAAATAATATACTAAAGTTTAACAACAAATATTAAGGTGAATGTAAAGTTATTATAACAATATAATAATCTGCAAGCTGATCATAAAAAAATGAACAAGAGATCGAAACATGGGGGTGTTATTTTCTTAG